ATCACTTTATTTCCTACTAACAAACACGTCAAAGTCCACATATTTCATTGCAATTGTGGCCCTAAAGAGGGCCGTTGGGTTAGTTGCGTGCACCAAAGCCAAACAATCTACTTGCTGGAGGTGTACTTGGTGACGGCCTTTGTGCCCTCGGACACGGCATGCTTGGCGAGCTCTCCTGGGAGGATCAGTCGTACCGCGGTTTGGATTTCGCGGGAGGAGATCGTCGATCGCTTGTTGTAGTGAGCAAGACGTGAAGCCTCAGCGGCGATACGTTCGAAAACGTCGTTCACGAAAGAGTTCATGATTGACATCGCCTTCGACGAAACGCCGGTGTCGGGATGAACTTGCTTGAGTACACGGTAGATGTAGACGGAATAACTCTCCTTCCGACGATGTTTCTTCTTCTTGTCTCCGGCGCGGCTTGCCTTCTGGCTCTTAGCTGCCTTCTTCGCTCCTTTCGCCGACGGTTTCGGCGGCATGATTGCTAGCTAGTGGATGGGAGATTGCTCCCAATGTCCCCGTTCTTATAGTAGCTCTATCGGCAAGCCCCGCCTCCACAGTTGTGGTCTAGCTCCGCCTACCAACAGGCGGTTCTAGCGCGCAACGTCCTCTTTAACAGAGTAAGACGGGTCAACGTTGCCATCTGTGGTTGTTCCCATCGTTCAACGTCGTCATAATGTCTGGTCGTGGAAAAGGAGGTAAAGCGAAAACTGGAGGCAAGTCCAAGTCTCGCTCGGCCCGTGCCGGCCTGCAGTTCCCCGTTGGTCGCCTTCATCGTATGCTTCGCAAGGGCAACTATGCTGGTCGTATCGGAGGTGGTGCACCAGTTTACCTGGCCGCCGTGCTCGAATATCTCGCAGCTGAGGTATTGGAATTGGCTGGCAATGCTGCTCGTGACAACAAAAAGACGCGCATCAACCCTCGCCATCTCCAACTTGCCGTGCGCAACGATGAGGAGCTCAACAAACTACTCTCCGGTGTGACGATCGCTCAAGGAGGAGTTCTTCCCAATATTCAAGCTGTTCTTCTGCCCAAGAAGACTGGTGGAGAAAAGGAATAAGTCCTCTTCGCCGTGAGGTATTAATTCTGACCCAACGGCCCTCTTTAGGGCCACAATTGCAATGAAATATGTGGACTTTGACGTGTTTGTTAGTAGGAAATAAAGTGATTTGTCATATCGGTGTAGCTCAATTGCCTATGTTAAAGCTTTCCGGAGGATTAGTAACTTAGCGTTGTAGTGATATGCGATTTACGTGGTGAAACCGTGAGCAGTTACTTCAGCGGAGACGTGTTTCCCTTGTCAACCAACGGAATCGCATCCAAATACTATTTCGGAGTTACAATAGAGGTTGTTTCACATGGGAAATGACTCATTTTTTGGTCGCGTTAGGATCCATTCCTCGGCCTATGGAGCGGGTACTGGTCAGTCGCATCACACATTATCATTCCCTGTTCGAATGACGAGGCTGAACTGTGGTGTGAGTCCTTGGCAGAGCGCCAAGAAAGCTGCCCTAGCTTGGAGAGCAAAGGATGCGACTGGCAGGAAGCTTTCTGATCGAAGTTGGAGAATAATGGTGGACGCAGAGAGTAATGAGAATCTTCGTCATTCAGAAAAAAAAAATTAATAAAAGTCAAGACGGAGAAAGGGCTAGATTACAAGATACGCGGATATAGTGGACAGGTTTGTATGCATCTGAAAACCTACAGCTAGATCTGAATGGGGTGAGAATTGCTAGAACTGAAGGAGTGCACCTGTTCACTCCAGGTTTTTTGGTTTTCAATTTCTTCTAATATCGCCATTTTTTGAGTGGCGCTTGAAGAAATCTGATGAAGGTGAGAGCGCCGAAACCTCGGCCAGCATTAATAAATGCTGCTCTTCTTAACAGCATTCCCATTCAAAAAAAAGGAGAAATCATAACGTGTGCGCCGTTCATCAATCTCTGAGATATGCGTTGTAGCTTCAACTTCATCGATCCGTCTATTTCATCGGTATTTTTGTCCTCCCAGACAATTGGGATGGCAACTTAATGATCGCGGAGAGGCTTGGTGAAAGAATGGGGCATCAATATGTTGTCAATATAGCAAGCCATTTAAGACGACCTCTAATGATTTTTTTATTCTTTTTTTGAAGAACCAAAGCAAAAGCATTGACGGGTCCAACGAAAAGCAGAACAATTCCCGTGCCCTTCCAATTTTGGCGCGAAACCACGCCGTCAGTGCTTGGGAGGTCGCCAATTGGCACGGCGTTGGCGCTTGGCATGTCGCCAAGTGGCATGGCATCGGCGTTTGGCATGTGGCCAAGTGCCATGGCATTTTATGGAAAGCAAAGGCTAAAGTCACCACGTTCTTTGATGGGACATAGCAAGTAGAAAGGGTGTAATCGATCAATACTAGTAGTATAAATACAAATATATAAGCATATATATATATTATATATATATATATATATATATATATATACATATACATATATGTAGTCTTCTTCGAAAATATTTTGGTTTAGAAGTATTTTAATCAACTCATGTCGCCTCATCAAGAACACAAGTAACGTATTCATCTAGTCCGTTCTCAATACAAAGCTAGTGTTTTCGCTTGGCCAATTTCTCGTTGTGGCTCCAGGTCGCTCTTCGGTGTGACACTAACACACCGAGGTCGCCCATAAGTCCCTCCACCAAAATATACGGCCGCCTTCGGTGGATCACCAAGAGATGTGTCCATCACAGGAAAACGTACTTCGAACGTATTGCCATTACTTCATTTTTTTAAACATTTTGCATGACACCGTCCGACCGCACGTTCGAGAAAGGCACTCTAGGTGTCCAGGAAGAATAGACCCTAATACGCATTGTAGAAACATCCGCCTATTCGACTGTAACCCTAATGAGTCGAATTTCTTTGGATGCTTTTTCTACGTTATCCAAAATCATACAAACCACGTCTTTGCTGCTTAATCCGACCAGTGGAAAAGGTTAGAGAGTGTTTTCAGCTTTAAAATTCCCATTTCCTGAAAAAGGCATACGACAATGCAACGTGTTTTCATTCATTTTGGGATTTTCAGCATCATCCTGAAACAGGTCGAAAATATGTAGATGCTATGAAGTTTTTCCTCCGCCTCTTTTCTCTCTCTGCCAACACACTGCTCAATGCTCGTAATCGTCAACGAATGCATATCTGCCACAGCTCTACTTAACCGCAAACGTTCTTTATCAAAGAACTCTCCGAGAGACCAAGAAGCTTACTGAATGCTGATGCGCGACGACCTTCTTGTTGAGAAACGACCACGTGCCCCCGATGTAAGTGTCACTAGGAAGACCGAACTCGGTTGGTAGCTCTAGCTCATCGAAGACACTCCGTACTAACTACACAGACTAGGCGGGAGGTGTCATATGGAGTAATCAACTGCAAATAAAGTTCCTGCTTAACCATGAATTAACCAACTCTAAGCGCTCTAATTGTACATCTTCACAAGTTGTGCACATGGAATGGCTACTTGATATGCAAAGCATTCGTGGTTGATGTTTGTGAACACCACTATACACCGCCTATCATTAGTAGATTATCTAGTTACATCTCGCTCGTAATCCTCACTGCAGACATCGGATAGCATTAAAGCACATTATTAACAACAGTGAAAACTTTATTTCATGAACAAACAAAAATATGTTCGCATTCTGTCATTTGTGGCCCTAAAGAGGGCCGTTGGGTTAGAATTAGGCGATGACTGCAAACGGCCGGTTATGCTCGTTCTCCTCGAATTCGGCGTGCGAGCTGGATGTCCTTGGGCATGATTGTCACACGCTTCGCATGAATCGCGCACAGGTTCGTGTCCTCGAACAGTCCGACCAGATAGGCCTCAGAGGCTTCTTGAAGGGCCATCACAGCCGAGGACTGGAATCGCAGGTCGGTCTTGAAATCTTGTGCAATCTCTCGCACAAGACGTTGGAATGGCAATTTGCGGATCAACAACTCCGTCGATTTCTGGTAGCGACGAATCTCCCGCAGTGCCACGGTTCCAGGGCGATAGCGATGAGGCTTCTTCACACCACCGGTGGCCGGCGCAGATTTTCGAGCGGCTTTGGTTGCCAACTGCTTGCGAGGCGCCTTCCCTCCGGTCGATTTGCGAGCGGTCTGCTTCGTACGAGCCATATTGGATCGATTATTTGCGAACGATATGGTTGCCCTCTCCTCCGCTGCTTTTATACTCTATTGTTGAGGGCGGGGCCTACTTGCTGCGGGCGCGTCGTCTGTGGATTCGATGATGCTGCGTTCTTTAGAGGGTAATTTACTGTTATTTCAGATATTTTTGCACAAACTATGTAACCTGACGCGCTTTCTTCCAGAACACTATGGGCTCCAATTCGGCTGCCAATAGTCGCTGTATATTGACCATAGTGTGGGAGACGCTGCAAAACTAAACACCACCTTAAATGGCGATGTCAGGAAAATACTCGAAATTATTCTAATCTTCTAACTCTAGTATTTGGCATCCACGACAACCGTTCTTTGAAATCTATTAGTACACATACAAACCCAGTTACTCTAACTGTGTGTCTTCCGATCTACCTCTTGCTTTGTATTGGTTTTATTCATCGTCACTTCTACTGTACGACGGAGATTCGTACTAAAGCTTTTTGTCCATTTCCATAGGAAGTGAGCTGAGCGTCCGTTTACCACAGATAGGCGCATCACTTGGCGACCCGCCAAACGCCGACGCCATGGCGTAGCGCCAAAATTCGAACGTAGAGGGACTCGTGGACAAGTGGACGGGCTGCAGTGACACAATTACTCGACCTATTACCACATCAAGAAGTGGGTCATACAGCAAAACTAGCTGTTTATGAGGGCTGGTGTTGACCAATAAGTTATTTTCATTTTTGATGAGCCAATAGGAGTTGTTGAAATATAAAGTTCTACATCATTTCGGCGGGTACCTCTTTCACCATGGTTTAAAAATGACGGTTTGAACATGTAACCCTCAACTGGTCGAATGCTTCCATCAACGAACTCGGGGCCTGAGTCGCTGGTGAACAATTTGGCAAATCCCTAGCTTTTTTATAATAAGTCGTCCTTGTTTCAAGTAAGAGAGGCTGATGACAGAGTTTTGACCGCCAAAAGTGGAGTGGAAAGAGGCAGTCTCAATCTTAGTGGGGGTGAGTTCCACATAGCAGAGTCGCCCCCAATCAACAGACGCCCAGTTGGACTCAGATTGGCGCGTACAACGACTATGTTGGCTATCGACGGGCCAGGTCTTGTGTGGGTCGTGCAGTAAGTGTAGAATAGTTCAACAGCAAGTACCAATCAAATCAATTCAAGGGAAATACAGTAAACTTGATTGATCGATGAGAAATAGTGTATAGACAAATGAGTGGGATACGTAAAGCACTACGAATTTGTGCTTTCCCTCAAGAAACTCTAAACACTTGTACTGGTCGAACCGTATAAGTTCCCAGAATGCTCCCTGTCAGTTACTGCACGGACACTAACTCATCACTTGTTTCCGAGGTCTATGCAAATTCGACGCAATCAGTACACCATGTCGTCTCAGAGATCATCTCAACTACGCCAGCAAATTGCTCGCCACCATAACTAAAAACTGATAAAATTACGAATTTCGAGTTCATCTACATGCTTGCTCCTCACATTTAATATAAGTACACTTTATTCAAGAGGAAAAAATAATGATACGTATTCCAATCGTTCCAACTGTGGCCCTAAAGAGGGCCGTTGGGTTAGATGCGGTTGCGGTCAGCCTTGAATAGCTCGCCTTATCCACCGAAGCCGTACAGCGTGCGTCCTTGGCGCTTGAGGGCGTACACGACGTCCATGGCGGTGACAGTCTTTCTCTTAGCGTGTTCGCAGTAGGTGACAGCGTCACGAATCACATTCTCCAGAAACACCTTCAGCACTCCACGCGTTTCCTCGTAGATCAGTCCAGAGATGCGTTTCACACCACCACGACGAGCGAGGCGACGAATAGCCGGTTTGGTGATGCCCTGGATGTTGTCCCTGAGCACTTTGCGATGGCGTTTTGCTCCTCCTTTTCCGAGTCCTTTGCCTCCTTTTCCACGACCAGACATGGCGAAAGCAGAATACTGACGAATGAATGCGGGCAGTGCCAGAGCACCACTTATATAGGCGTCGGCAGAGTCCGCACGCTGTGACCCTTACACCACAAGTGGGCGGGCAATCTCCATTATCGCGTCTTTTGGATCGTCAGGATGACTTTCATGACATCGTTGAATACGGCACAAGACTTAAAGAGAGAAATCGTCCTGTGCTTACGAAAGAATATGCTGCTGTCTTTATTCGGCACTTAGGATTAGATTTGAACAAAGATTTCTTTTGAGGACTTTATGGCTTTTTTGCTCGATATTTGCTCTGAGAGATGGCCGGATCTAGGACACCTGCAGTGTGTCTGAAATGCTTAACCCTTTAAATTTTGGATTAGCGGAAAGAATTATTGTGAGCTGCAGAAAAACAACATCATATATTGTGCAAGGGCTTGAAGAACTGCATAGTCATTCGGTGATGGACAAAGAAAATGTTATTATTTTAGCGTTTATTAGTGCGCAATAATTGACCATACAACTGGAAGACTTACAAAGAACAAATCGGCTCTAGAAGGAAGAAAGAGATGAAACGTCTGCTATTGTGTACTCATGAATGCTGTAGCAATAAGCTCATGTTTGCTCATCGGGAAAAAAGAAACAGTTAGTTGCTGATCAATGCCGAGGTTAAAGGAAAGACTATTTTGGGTTCAGCTTTGAATCAGTATGCCATTTTTACTTCTGTACGCATCAATACGATGAATCTTTGTGGCGAGTGGAATGTATGAGTGTCGCACCAATGGAGAAATTGCGACATAAATTCTACTTCGAACCGGCTGGTTTTTGTGACGACTGTCTTGGGACGCTGTAGTAGTGCTATCTCGTGCTTCGTTAGGAAATTTCGTTCTCTGGGGAGTTGCTTCAATATGCCAGTGATGGTAGAACAGTCCATGTGCTCTAGGCCAATTTCTTGCAGCAAATGAAGCACTTTTGTGCTTCGAGGATAAAAAATGAAAGAAGCCCCTAAATCCTGTTAGGACGGGCTCTGTAGCGATCAATAGAATATTTTACTATTATCCGCTCATTTGACAGATGAAATGGACGACTGGTCACGAGTTGCTCGCACGAACACAAAGAATGCGTGATTTTTACCAAAAAATGTGGAGTTTCATCCTCTGCGGACGGTATCTCTTTGGTTCGACCTTGCTCAGCATGACCGTACACCCGATCTATGTGAAAGAGTCACTTGATAACTTGTGAAGGTTTTAGACGATAAGAAAAGTGGCTCTGAGCATTATTTTCGAAACATCGGTGAAAAATTGTGGGGACACGTAACGCGATATTTCATGTAAGTGACTCTTTACCTGATTGATTCCCAAAACCGCCCTTCTGTTAACTTCGGCACTAATTGATAATTCACTGTTTCTATTCAATGAACAAACACGAGGTTGGTTTCGTAGAATTTATTACCATCAAGTAGCCGCGACTGGGTGATTTCGCCTTCTTCAGAGACTGGAAGGGTCAAATTGATACGTAATCTCCTCAGCCAAACACTTTCATAACAACAGCAGGTAAGACTTAACACATAAACTTGTATTCGCACAATAAACAGCTTTTCTTAAACAACCGCCGTTTTATTCTTTGCAAACATTCCAATTAATTTGTGGACGGCACAAGCACAGAGTTATACAGAGGCGAGGAATGTACCTGGGACATGTCTTAGAATCTGCCTGAGATATGAGACACAACGAAAAATCGCACAGTATGTCCTAATGGTAGAGACGGTGATTGCATGAGTTCGGGTACGGTGTGCCTAATCTCTTGTAAAGCAAGTGGAGACTAATACGTTGACGGAAGGGGTAGACCGCTCTGCACCCCTTTTTAAGGAACACCTAGCGGATAAATTTATTACTTCTACATCCTCTATGCTTCTGAAAGCTGCCCAATCCGCTCGTTTGTCATCAGCAAACCGAAGATGGTGTAATTGCCGACCAACGATTTTCACTCCTAAGTCGTCCCATTCCAATGTTCGCATGTCGTTCTCGAGGGTGGCGGTAAATTATTTCGGCAAGATCGCATTGCCTCGGTCTCGCGATCGCCTAACTTTTCTTTTGACGTCGATGCTAATATCGTTGTAGAATGGTGATATCTTGGTTGCGAAATTTTATACCGCTCACGAAGAATTTGTTTACTGTGGACTACCTGATTGTCCAGGGCTTCTATGACTACTTCTATCGCAGCTGAATCAAAAGCCTTCTTCAAATCGATGAAAGTGAGGCAGAGCGGCCTTTTGTACTCTCGCGATACTTCACTGAGTCTCGTCATCGTGTGGATGTGATCCATCGTCCTAAATCCTTTTCGAAACCCTGCTTGCTCACGTGGTCCTCCTTCGTCCAGTGTTTTTCTAGTCCTGTTTAGGATGACTCGAGTGAAAACTTTGTAGACGACAGACAACAAGAAGATTGGGCAGTAGTTGCCGATATCGTGTAGGTCACCCTTCTTGAATAATAATACGGTCTTCTTGGTCTTCCAATGAGTATGAACCTGCATTCTGACGGGCTAACGCGTAAATAGCTGAGGCAGTATGTTTATGAAGACTGGTCGAAGGTTTCTCAGGCGTTCAGATCTTGTCCTGTCCAAAGCTGGTATTGTTCAATTCTTCACCAATGAAGTAACATGTCGGACTTGACTTCGGAAGGGATAACCGGTGGGCCTACAAATCCATCCCCCTTTGTTTCATATGAGGGAATGAGGACGTGGCTGTTGAAGAGATTTGAGTAATATTTGTCAATAGTTTTCTCCATTGCCTTTCTAAAAGCTCTAACTTCTCCGTCCAGGCATCGGAGTGCAATTATCCTGGTTTTGTAATTTGCGAAGCTTCGGCTTGCTTTGCGTTTTCTGCAACACGACCATGTTTGCTGCCCTTCTCTCGATAAGTTTTTTTTCATAGCCTTTCTGACTTGTTTTGCAAGTTCGAATGTGAGTTGGGGATTGCCTTTGTGGCGTGCGGTTGCACGCTGAGGTATCAACTCGAGTTTTTCTGGAGGCAGACATTTCTTGGTTACTTTCGAACTCTTAGTTTTCATAGCGCTATTGTGAAGATGTTGAATAAGAATTAGAGAAACATGAAGAGGTTGGATGATTCGGTTCAATTCCTTGTCGATGTTATCAAGAACAGCACCTAGCACCTTCCAAACAGCCGCCTAATGAATAATTAACGAATTCCAGTTTATTGTGGTTCTGAAACTTCGTTTTTGAGTTTAGCCTCTTTTTCTCCATTCCCTGAGAAATGAAATCTCGCACGAAAAAGACGACGACCTGATCCCGTTTGGAATTTTGGGACAACATGGACATCGGTCAGAGAAAACCTTCGATTTACTATGACATAGTCTATTTCGTTATGGTTCTCGCCAGTGGGAGATTCCCATGTTCAACGTTGAAAGTGGGCTTCTGGAACTGCAAGTTACCATGAATGGTCTTGGTTGTCAATCATGATAAACTGTCATCCGCTCACCCTGTTCGTTCCATTTTAATCCATGCGTCTCAATGTAGTGTTCTTCAGACGTTCTTCTAGGTCCAGTCTTAGAATTAAAATCTCCAGTGATGACCTGGGAGAATGTATGGACTTTTCTGTAGAACTTTTGAATGTCCATATAGAACTTTCGACTTCGTCTTCATCCTCTTGATGTCGGCGCGTGAACGATGAATATTGTGAAGGGCGGTGCTGATCCACACCACTTCAATCTAGACGCCCGCTTCGGGTTGCTAGCTTTCCGATTGGATAGATGTTCATGAGTAAACTCTTGTTTAGGAGATTGCACAAGCCACCGACCCCTCTACTGTCGCAATCTCTGAGGAGCAGTTCTTTTCTTGTGTCATAGACGGCATTGAATGGACGCTGTCTTCTTGTCCCATCCAAACCACCGATGTCGCACCTTATCTTTCTTGTCTGCTTGATCAAGTCTTGTACCGAAGACTCGGATTGAAGTGAGAGTGCATTATAGGTACAAATCACTCCCATGTTTCTCGTAATTTAGCCGGCCTGGAATGACCCTGAAATTTTATTATCCTCTTTTTACACATCCTGCACAACGCTGGGAGTCATTTGAGGTCAGTGGATTAGGACCGCTTATTTTGCTGTGTTCAGTATTTCATACCCACGTATAGCTTGCTGAACTCGGAACGTGGTGGCTGGGTATGATCACGGGTAGCTTGTCGAACTGCACAAGAATACTGAGATATGAACAAAACTCGGAATCTTATTTGTGATTTGAACCCGCGATTACACTTTCCGTGTGCTCACGTGTGAGCCATTGCGCTAACTGATGTCCTTGTTCTACCCCTTTTTGGGCAGTTTTTTTTTACTATAACGGTACCATCAGGAGTCAACTTCAACGATGGTGATCTAGAAAGCACAATTTGGCACTGAACCCAGTTAAGCTGAGGCATTCTCGTGGTTGTATTCCACATAATACCCCGCTATCAAAAGGGAATACTTAATGAATAGATGTTGGAACATTTTTAATCGGCAGCTTATCGTCTGTATTAAAAACATTGGATGAAGATTAGCACGCTGAGCAACAAAAAGGAGCAAGCGCCTACAAAATCAACATTTGTCTCTGTCCTACGTAATAGTACTCAGTCGATTGTTCTCGCTTTAGGTACTTACTGAGTTTCCTTCTAAGGCACTAATGAATAATCCTTAACATCGGGTCGGTGGTGTTCCTTTTCTGGACTTAGCATTACGCGAGATCCAGCCAATAAGAACTCCTGTCCACAAGTTGTCCTTAATACGCACCATGTGGCCAATCCATCTAGTTTTCCATATTTTAGCGTATACTGGTAGTAGTGCGTAGTATAGGAGTGGGTAATACATTCGTAATTCTCGTATCCCTTTCATTATGCGGACGGAGCAACCTATCGAAGCGCCGGTTCGATCCCACTCTGTGCCCACCAAGCCTCTCATCTCTCCGGTGACTGGAAATTGGTACCAGACGCGTGTGGTACAAACCCCTCCAATCCACTTGAGACGCCCTAGCGCGTCTATATCAGTATTGCAGGGAGAAGTGACCCAACCAGCATTCAATGACATTCGTAGAAAAGAAAAATCCTTACAGCTGAAGCCAAATGCAAAATACTTCCAAGACCGATCCTCGTGGATGGTGGATGCAAGGAAGCGAGTCGCATGCAAGAAGTGGTGATGACCACACATATGTGACGGTGAGTGATATAATAAGTAACGGAAACATATAAAAATGCTTGGTAAAAGCGTGTCCAAATTTTTTTACGTCATAGCCCTGTTGTCATTAACCCTACGGCCGAATTTCTTCTGGGACAACGGCTATTCCGGGCATAGATTTACTATTGGATGGGCATTCAAATGGAAACCGCTTTTTGTGCTTGCGCAACTGTTGTGTTGATGACACCTTTGATTTATCCAACCACTAGGAGTGCACTCATCCACGCATTCCAACAAAATAGAGCTCTCGAGGTCCATTTGGGAACGCTATACAGCGCTCTGAGTTGTTTAAGATTGAATCGTTATCTCATCTATCATATAACCAATTCCATGCATCATACGGAGACAATAGCGCGTTCGTTCCCCACCGTAGACACCTGCGGTCCAGAGTTTTGCAAATATCTCAGCAACGTTGTGGTTGTATTTCGCTTAGTAACCTGCCATGAAAATTACAGAAGGCAGAAAACAAAACGTTAAACATTGTGATTTCAACTACAGCCATAGCTTAACTGGGTTCTATGCCGATTTGCGCTCCCCAGATCAACCCCGCTGACGGGTGATTGCTATGGCAAAAAGATCGATAGAAATAGCTGAGAGACGTGCGAAACAAAGGACCCGCATGGTGTGGTGGTGAACGCGTTACTCCCCGGAAAGGATAATAGGGCGTTCGTTCCCACCATAGATACCTGAGGTCCAGAGTTTTGCAAATATCTCAGCAACGTTGTGGTTGCATTTCGCTAAGTAACCTGCCATGAAAATTATAGAAAGCAGAAAACAAAACGTTAAACATCATACGGAGAGTTGGGTATGTAGCAGTAATGGTACTGTTACTCAGTTTTCCAATTGATCCTCAGTTTTAAATATTCTCCTTTCCTAAACCTCGGCGAATGATGATTAAACTTCTATACGATTAAGGTAAGACAAGGTTGTTATAACTCGACTCGAAGGGACAACAGCCACATCGCGACAACATTAGCAGTAGATCACTGACTCCGATCAATGCGGCTGTGAAGAAGGCGAAGGCGCAGATACGTTAGCCGAATAAAAATTTTATAGCAAACTAGAGTCAGGTCAATCGTATAGAAGATTACTAACTATTCTTGCCGAGTCTTAATGAAAGTCGGCTTTTAAGATGTTGCAACGGTACCTGCCAGCAAATGAACTTCCGATTGCTACAGGACGCATTGCCTGCCGAAGGGCGGGTCGAATTTGACGCCGACAATCGATTAGCACCCTCGCTCTGCAAGAGAGAAGCGCTGAGCGAAGTCGCCATGCGAGCGGTGTTACCTGTACTGGATTCGACTCGACCCGACAACGAAGACCCACATCCCGACAGCGACGAGCTGCTGTCGATGATAATGTCGGATCTACGCTGATCTGAGGAAGATGAAGGCCCCAAAGGTGAGCCGAATAAAAGTTTTATACCATCGTCGTCTCATCCCAATCATCTAAAGAATTACGCTGATTTCTCGTTTCTGTTCCATGTATCTATGGGTTTGCCGATGTATGTAAAAAGTTGTTTGTTTAGACTGGAGACTGGGAAACAACCAGTGCTGGATTGCAATCGCCACTTAATCTATTTTGAAAGTGCGGATGCAAGACACCTCGGAATTGCGTTCGCAAGAATTCGTGTTCCATTAATATTATTTCCAGTCATTTGTGCACTACGTCGCCACACGGAAGTTTCTGTGGTTTGCTTTAGACCTCCACTTAGGAATAGAGCTTAACCACACCGCTAGCTTATTTCACACTGAAGGTCTTTGTGTTAATACTGTTAGTGGTCTATCAATTTCTTGGATAATGATACACTCCTGACCTCTACATAGAAGAAAGATGTTAACGAATGCCTTTTTATTGGCAAAACAGCTGTTTGTGATTTCATACATTGTGCCGCAGAAGTGATGCGTTTCAAAGTGTTTGAGAAGTCTTTAGATTATGCCTTAACCCTCAATTCAGTACTAGTGTCAGACCAGTGACAAACTTCTTGCAATTTTGCACTATTCATAAGGCCGACATAGGAAGCAAGGGCAACTCTGGACAGTGGTATGGGATCAATCCGGCCTTGTGAAAGGTGAAGGAGCCGGAGCATTAGTCGAATAAACTTCTTTTTATCAACCTCGTGTAAGCTTTCAATGAGAGAATACATGTTGATTAGTCATATCGAGACCTTTCCTGAGATATCGTGGTTAGGCGTCTGGTTATCCGTTTTCCGTCAATTTTTTGTTCTGTGTTTGCTTTGGTGGGTCAATAAATTAATTTCTCGTCGATGTCGACACCTCGTTTTGCATTTGGTCAAATTTCCCGTATGTTGAATCCGCTGCCATGTGTTTTTCTTTTTCTGTACGTCTTTTTTTCTCAGTGTTTTTTAGACCATTAACTATGACTTTCCTTGAGAATTCATGAATTCATGATTTACTCTTAGCTAAGCTTAGTTATGGAAACGCCGGACTCCTCAATCAGGAAAACAATGAAATTAATAGCGTTGTTTCGTACTTTTCCTTCACCGTGCAAAAACCTATTCGCGTTATCGTCACACATGAAGGGTGAACTGCATACTTTCATGAGCAATTTTTTAGTTGTTTCCCAATTGAAGTAGAATTATAGGAGGGCTTTTGTTTCCTCCGAAATGACATGTGGCTCATCCAGTTTGCACTACTTAAAGAAGTTATTTTCGTAAATACTGATTGATTCACACGCGTGTCCCAGTATAAATAGTGAATAGCGCGCGCTACAACATAGTCGCATGAAGCTATGTTTTGTCACTTTTATATGGCTATTAGTCATGTGCAGTCATTAAAAGGGCGCATGTAGCGCGGTGGTCGGAGGCTACTGCAACACACACATGGGATCGATCACACGCCCGTGGCTCACTAAGCCTTTCATCCTTCTGGGGTCGGCAAATTAGTACCCACTATTAGTACCCACTAGACTTGTCTGGGAGGATAGCAGCGCTGACTGGACACATCGATGGATTACCACGAGTCATTGTAAAGGCCAGATATGCATTCAATCACTTCCAACGATGCTTGTTCAAGTCGAATGCATGGCGCATCCTTCAGGGATTGATCAACGCCGAGAACTTTATCCTTTATCCCTTATTAGTCATGCAACAGAGCAACTCTTATGCATTAAAAATCAGCAAAAGTTTTTCCGTATAAGTATGAGCAAAAACGAATGAACAATCAGTGAGCATTAAACTATGAGGACTGTGGATCCATTGGTACTAGCTTCGCTCTAAAACAACACCGAAGCAATTTCAGAAAGAGATCGCTGCGACAATGGAGGCACCAGGCTAGGAAGACAAGTACTTAGCTCTTTTCCTCGTCACTTAACAACGAAAACCCGTTCCAGAATCTGTGAAAACAAGTAGGAGAAAAGCACTGGATCTCAAAAATAAATAAAGTTATAGAAAAGAAAGGTGTCTACACTACACAAATGTCTCGCTAAAAATATTGGCGAGCGTCGGCGCCCCATCGGACAATTGCGACCTGGGTCCGTCGTGTAGAGACATTCGTGTCAGTTAGCCATCGTCGTGACTCACCGACCGCAACTGCAGACTTTTTTGTTTCCTCGCAAGCGTTTTGTACCTCAATATCCACCGATTATCTGAGACAAGTGGTGGTGTGTGTACCTACCGATGAAGCTGTTTTTCTAAGAGCTCGATACGGCTGTTGAGTTTCGTCTCGGTGCTCGTGTGTTCCGCAATCAAACGAGCCATTCTAGAATTGAATGCGTTAGCTCTCTTAACACTTGAGTTTCTTCATCATAACAATATTAAGCTTGTTTTCAAGCGAAGGGAATGTCAAGCGAATCCCACAGTAACACGAAATATCAAGTTAATTATCTGCTATATAAAAAAGCGTTGAGAATCAATCAATGGTGTGAGATGAGCCCGGAATTTCAGTTCCGTTTGTTGGTTGTTAGCTTCTCTGAGATTCTCGAATTTGTCCCATACTGCTCTTGTTCTTCAGTCGAATTCCTCCTATATGTTTATCATGTTCACTAACCACGCAGAGTACATGTTGCGGACGCCCTTTTTGTCCTCGCTGAGAGACCTCATTATGCTCTGCAGTGCGGCTCTAAACATCTTTTGCAAGATGGTGTCGCCTTGTTGAACATCTTTTGCTTTAGGTATGGTCGATGAAAAAGCTGCTTTTTTGTGTTGCAGTTCCGATAACGGCCAAACAGAGTACTTATGTAGGACAGGTCCACTTCTTTGTCAACGAGCGCTTATTAGATTGCACTCGTTTCGCTGCTGTCTAACGCCTTTTCTTAGTCGACGACGAGGCAAGGGACAAGTAGTATTCAATGGGAAGAATACCAAGAGAGAAATTGTCTTGACGTTAAAGTTTAATCATAGTTAAGGAAGTTGTGACAACTTTTAAGGCAGATGATAAAATGTGGAGAGAAATTTCGATCTGTTCATATGCCTATGTGAAAAAAAGAGAATCTTTCTCTTGTGATAGGTGCTAACCTGGTTTGCAGGACTTTCACAGAGTTGTTGAGTTGTTCTGCCAACTCTTCTACGGTTTGCTGTTCTTCTGGAGCATTCTCGTCCAAAAGGTTATCTTTTTTCAACAATTCTCGGCCCTGAAAATGGCCTTATTACTAATAATTCAGTAATTAATGCATCAGAAGAATTTTACTCAATCGCGTTTAGGTCCCTTAACTCGTAACAAACGCGCGCCGTTTGGCGTGCCTCTTCGAATGGAATACGAGCGAGTCCTGTCCGACTGTGGACCTTCAGATTTTTTGAAATTTTTCAAAAAATAGACAGCTGCTGGGATTACGAACACGACAAAATTGTAGAAGAGACATTTCTCTGTCGTTCTATTGTTATGAATGGTATGCGTGATACTATTTACTGCTTGTTACTATAGTTCATTACTGAAATGCGTTATTGTAAGTAGTTGGAAGGATTTTCCAACGTATATTAAGCTTATTTTGGCGTTTTTTATATGCGTACAATCCATACAATGACCACAGTGAATGAGACAGCAATTAACTGCTAGTCAACTTACAAGTCGATAAACTTTTCCAAGAGATCACAATGTTAACTTTTTATTTGCTGCTTATTACAATTTTTTACGGCAGAGTATTATGTTAAATAAACTCAACTGTAATGGTCCTGAGATATAACTTCAACGATACTGAGATATTTGCTAAACTCCAGACAGCAGACCTCTGCGGTGGGGAACGAACGCGCTATTACCCTTTCCGGGGGCTAACTCGTTCGCCACCACACCATGTGGGCCCTTCGTTTCGCCTGTCTCTCAGCTAGTTTTCTGTCGATTAGTGCCATCACAATCACCTATCAACAGGATTGATCTGGGGAGCTCAAATCGGTAATGGACCCAGTTAAGCTAAGGCTGTAGTTATAACAATAATTTTAACCTACTATTTACTGCCTACTCATTTTAATTGCAGGGTATGTTTCGAAATATAGCTTCAACGACGCTGATATTTGCAAAACTCCAGAGCGCAGGTGTCTGCGGTGGGAAACGAACTCACTATTACTCTTTCCGGGGTTAACGCATTCACCGCCACACCATGGGCTTTTTTTTGCAGATTCGAAAACGAAAGCTCGTTCCCCACAGCAGACACCTGTGCGGTCCGGAGTTTTGCAGATATCTCAGCAACATTATAGTTGTTTTTCTAATAAATCTTTTTTGTAAATCATTGAGTGTGGTATATACATATATATATATATATATATATATATATATATATATATATATATATGTATATACCACACTCAATGATTTACAAAAAAGATTTATTAGAAAAANTTTTTCTAATAAATCTTTTTTGTAAATCATTGAGTGTGGTATATATATATATATATATATATATATATATATATATAATGAGGTAAAAAAGTTCTGGAACTCGTTAAACCAAGAATGCACACTATAGCGTTCATACCGTCCATTATAGGTTGAAACCACACCTGAAAGTCAGCGAATAGAAAGAAAAAGTCTTTAATACTCTTACGGGCGAATTTCCCTCCCTCCACACACAAATTCAAAGCTGGGCTCTCGCAAAATTTCAAATAGTGGCGATGCTTATCGCCGCCGTTACTGGATGACGGCTGACTAAATGGAGATCGACCACTGCATGTAACGGTATCGTTTCCAAGTTTAGCTTAAATGCCGCAGCTGTTGTTTATCTACGTTTTCTTGCCTATGCGGCCTTGTAGTTAAGAATACTTCGTCAATCACGGTTGTCTTTATGGAAACGAACCTTGGCCAAGAGCAACTTCCTCGCATCTGGATACTCCCTTAGCGCGTTCCACAAGTCGTTCTTGTTGAGCACGAACAGATCCGTATAGCCAACTGACCGAACGTTAGCCGTTCGGCGATTTCCATTCTTGCTACCTAAGGCACTTATAGTTTAAACAGGAGAAAAATTTGCACTCTAATCGAATAATCTACCTAGTTTAACCAAGGCGACGTAGTGTAATGCTTGCACTGTTCTTTTTCTATTAATACCGTAACAACTGCGCCCTTCTTCTTATCTATTTACATCACCATTCTGAGAGGTTAAAACGCTAACCTGCAATGTTTAGAATGCTTAGCTCTCCGAAAACAGCACCCTCTTGCAATGTTGCGAAAACCTGGAAAAGTTTTGGCTTGTGGATGGAGAACAAGGACTACCGGCAATCTTACTGTGCGTCTTTAGCTATGCACCTTCTGTTACAGTAAAATCCACATTTATTTTTTCTTAAAAACCCAAGATATGATACAAACTAGCATCAAGAAAACATATAGGACGATAGAAAGAAGGAACACTTCGTGAGTTTGCACATCCCACTGCGATGCTGTGCCAGTTCTATACATTAGCCGACCATCGCTTCCTTTGTGCAATATTCGCTTTCTTGCAGAAGTAGTAGGAAGAAATAGTAGAAAGTGATCAAGGAACGAAATCTCAAAACCGCCATGGATTACACATCGGAGCAGAATGAGCCGAAGAGATACATGAACTCATGTTCGAACCTGTAAAAGTCTGCAACAAAGCGGTAAAAGATCTTAGACAGAAAAGAGTTACGGTTTTCACGAACGAAATGGAGAAATTGTTAATGACTACCACTCTACTGTCGTCAACATTTGCGCCCTCCTATCTTTATATGAAATTGGAGAGGATGGATTTGTCTTTTCAACTACCCTTCCTTCCGAAATGAAACATGGTATCTTGTCGGCGAAAAATTGTACTATATCGGATCCGGAAGGGATATGACCACACTATCATTATTACAATTATATGAAAATTTATCCTCCAGTCTTCATTCAAAACACTGGCTTGGCTCTTCAAGTGTTACCTGTTACAGTACAAGGTGCCAAATGAACGACAACTAACCAGAAGGTGTTTTACCACAGAAGGGAAACCAACACAATATCAGAAATTGTTGTCGAGTTTGCCTGAGACCTCACTATCAGAAGCTCTTCATCCAAATAATCCTCAAATTGATTGGAAGAACACTGCACGAAAGACAGTCACGTAGGCAGTGTTTCGAGAACCTTATACCATATACCGCATCAACACGATAACAAAACGTCTTGAGGTAAAGCAAGAGTTACAAGATTTGGTTTGGCAAAGAAGCGGTCACGGAGCCACTAGACAGTCGGGACATCCCTACTTACTACATAAAAATTTTGAGTAAGTTATATATCAATTTAAATTTTTAGCGGCGCGTGTGGCGCAGTAGTCGGAGGCGCCCTGCAACACGTACGTGGAATCGATCCCCGCACCCATGACCCACTATGTCCTCCATACCTCTGGGGTCGGCAAATTGGTACCAGACTTCCCGGGAGGATAGCAGCTGTGGCTCGGCTCATCGCCAGGTGACTGCGAGCCATTGTAAAGGCCAGATGTGCATTCAACCATCTCCAAACGATGCTTAATGAAGTCGAATGTATGGCACATCCCTCAGGGATTGATCAATGCCGAGAGCTTTATTTTTATCCTTTATATATCAATTTCATCATCCGACTATTACCATTCTTCATCAAAATCAATACTGATGCAAAAAGATCGATTCAAAAAGCAATTCAACTTCCCAAAAATTACTTACAATCTTTGAGAAAATCATACAATAATTGAAGCGGAATAACTTGGGAGTAAACACTAATCGTCGACATCTATACCACTTATGATTTTCTGATCGTTTCCGGTGTTCTTGTAAAATCAAGCACTGACCGGGTGGAAGGACTTTTGGCTAATCTCGACAACACCACAGTAATCAAATGCTTTATTTAAAAGACTTCTTCGATTCAATCTTAAGTGAACGATGCCCATGAGGGATAGATTCGTTTCCAATACTCCGTTCACGTTCAGTGGAACCAATATCCTTCAATCCGTGCTATTTCGACCGGGGAACAGCGCACTTCACCACCACACCATCCGGGTCCTTCGCTTTGCCTGTCGATCGATAGAACTAGCTGAGAGTAAATAAGAGGGTTAAGATTATGTAGCGATTATTGACATCCCACTCAATACCCTACGCCACCAGTTAGTTCGAAGCCGTCTCTATGATCGTTTGTGCAACTCAGAAAGCTGTATGATCTGCCCTAACGGGAGAGACGGGGATTGCATGAGTTTAGGTATAATATACTTGATCTCATGTAACGCATACGGTAAGGAACATATTGGGGAAACGGGTAGACCACTTTGTGTCCGCATAAAAGAACATCTAGATGGAAAAGATAAAATCCGTTTAAACACCCCTCTAGGTACGCATAGGGCACAGAAGCACAACGGCGATGATTTTGAAGTGAATGTGCGGATCCGAGCGCAGGAATCAAAAACATCAACGCGCAAAACTCTTGAGGCGTTTTGGATAAATTTCAAAAATCCAAAGATGAACCGGAAGGACGAATGCCTCACTATCACGCGTGACCTGGCGCCCTATTTCAAAATGATAGTTTGACCGTTAGGTGTGCCTCGCTCGCGATCCCATGTGAACTACGTGTCGGCCAGTCCCGCACGTAACATCACGGTGAGTGGCCTTTCTGTTCAATATGGCGTCTATTTGAAAGTTTGATCTTCATTAATACTTTAACCTTCTTTTCCACCGAATAATAAAAATATTCTAATGTTAAATACGTCCAGGCTCTGAGGAAGGCGAAGTCGGCGAAACGTCAGCCATCGATCAATGACATCAAAAACAACGACAACGAAGATCTGTACCAACCTCGCGTCAGCTTAAGAAGATCACTTTATAAGATCACATAAATAAATATATGAACCCCGTGTCTGCTTATTGAAGAAAAACATCGAATTAAAAGTGCTTAAATGTCCACTCTGTTAATATGAAAATTTCATGTATACATCGCCTCATCTGCCGTGACTTACCTTTTGTCCGTCGTCACCAACCACTTCTAACTTGCCCCTTTTCACAATGTACATCTCTCTACCAATATCACCTTTCCGACAGATGTAATCTCCTGGAGAAAACACCTGAAAAGGCGTCATGATATCTAATAAACCACTTCTTTTTATCATCTGAAGTCCCGAACTTTTTTCACATACTTGCAGTTGCAGCTTCAACACCAGCTCTGCCAGAAGTCCTGCTTCGCAGTCCTGAAGTTGACTTTCATATTTAATCATTAAGGAAAGCCTTCTTTCTCCCAACGGTTTACCGCCTCATCGTGGCTGGGAGGTGTTCCTGGGTGTTGGACTGAGATGTTCAGCGGAGGATTCATCCCCTGGCAGGGTCTCTCAAGCTGGGAAGGAATCCGGCGTTTCCATTAGGAAGGCTAAGAGTAAACCAGTACGAGTATTCACCACCGTCCTGGTATTAAAGTTGCATGGTGGTAAATCTTCCTCTGATCCAGATCCACAAGAGCTGTGACCGCCCGTGGTGGTGAAGACCTGGGGCAGACTTTGGCCAGGCTGACCTCGGGAATGCAGGGAACTACAGTGGCTCAAGCAGCGAATCTCCGAAAATGGAGATTATGCTGGGGCCCGCACAACCAGTGAGGACGGGCCATTCAAGTATCAAGTATTAAGTAAATTTGTAATCTTACCTGAAAAATTCGAACTTTTCTAAGAGTTTCGAAATGCACTTGCATGGCGATTTCGGCTTGCAACTTGTCAGGGAGCACTTTCAACACCTGCTGATCACTTAGCGACTGTTTGTTCGCCCAGAGGTAATCGAACCACTTGATCACCCGTGCCTCTAACTATAAATACAAATCTTGTGCAAGAATGTCTATTTCAATAGCCTTCTAAATATCTATAAAAATTGACCCTTTTCTCGTTCTTTCGTTTCTTTGACACAAATTTTAACAAGCTTCGCGATTTTTACAGATGAAGTAGCCATAGGTACACTGACGTTACCAGATTATGGTCAACTTAGACTGTTCCCAGATGCAGAACTATAATTTGCATTGGGATTCATCTCCAGTAGGTTCTGTCAAGCTGAGCTGAGTCAACAGAAGGCCGACATTTCCATCCGAAACTCCACTTAAGAATAAACCAGTGCCAGAACGCGCTGCCATTCCAGTAACAACATAGTCACCAGTAGGAAAGTGGTGAAGCAATAAGAAGGTCCTAGCAGAGCATTCGAGACTGCAGGAAGGGAGAAATCATTTCAAACAGCAAATTATCAGTAAAATGAAAATCGTGCCTTCGATTGCACAATCATTCGCGCTCTATAGGGATAAACTTACTTGTTTGCTGACCCGCCGGAGCTCCATGTATTGTTTGATTCCGTCCATTTTAGTCTGGAATTCGGTCCTAGCTGCACTCATGTTGGAAATCATGCTGTAAACGAATAAAATTAGCGCCAATTTTTTTGTGGACGTGGGAGAGCTACGAAAGTTCTTCCACCTGCCGACGTTACCGACGATTGTAGCGAATATAAGCACTCCACACATCAGGTCCAAAGTAACGAAAAGATACTCGATATTTTGCACTGGTCCAGGAACCTTTACGATATAGATTTTTTCCAAACCAGGAAAACAAGAATAAGTTTGGAGGAATTTGGATAGTTAGAGTCACCTCGCCAATCGTTGTAAGAATCAAAGTCGACCAGTAAAAGCTGTAGATATACCGCCGAAGAAGAGTATCTTTGACGTTTCTGCAAAGTTTCTGCAGAAATAAATTCATTTGTTCAAGGTAGACAAACAGAGTAGTTTTTCAAGGTAGAGATTATTTTTGGCTCGTAAAATAATCGAAGGAAAACTGCTCTTGTAGTGAAATAAGAGCCAAGCTACGATTTCGAGTTGACGATAACAAGAGAACAAGCAAGAAACAGAAATTAAAACGCACTCGGGTAAGCTCTGCTTGTTGAGAGGTCCATATACCCAGCCATCTGTTCCTAAGCCGATCATTTCCGAGATCCAGAAATAGAAGCAAGCGTTCCAGTGAATGATCACGATTATGTACCACACGACACACAACACTCGAAATGCATTTGGCATCGAACTTCTGAAAAATTTCCACAGTGAAACATGGCTCAATTAATCGAAAGAGGAAAAATATGAATTAGACGCAATAAAAGGCTAGTCTGAGAGTCAAATATTGGCGACGGAGTATTGTAGAGACTAAGCAACGGCAAATTTTTTGCGATCATGACGAGCTAACTCAACACTAAGACCTCATCTGAGTGTCCAGTACTACTTGTTACTTGATACTTAAACGGCCCGTCCTCAATGATTATGCGGCCCTCAGTATAATCTCCATTTTCGGAGATTCGCTGCTTAAGCCACTGTAGTTCCCTGCAATTCCGAGGTCAGCCTGGCCAAAGTCTGCTCCAGGTCTTCACCACCACAGGCAGTCGCAACATTTGTGGATCGGAGGGAGATTTGCCACCATATTACTTTGATACCAGGACAGTGGTGGATCCGTGTATTGGTCTACTCTTAGCTAGGCTTCCTGATGGAAACGGCGGACTCCTCAGCTTGGGAGACCCTGCCAGGGGAATGAATTCCCTCGCTGTACATGGCAGTCCGACACCCAAGAACATCTCCTAGCCACGATGACGTGGCAAACTGTTGGTAGGAAGGCCTGGTTATGATATATTATGGAATTTGTACCGTTGCAGCACGAGTATGAAGATTATTCGATTACAGAATTGACTTTGTTTTCACCTCGGCGTTGGATTATAAATATGAGGTTTTCTTTTTCAGCAATCGCGAGGTTGTTAGACAGCACACGTTTACTCCCCTTCCTCACCAGGTTTAAGCCTAGTTACTGAGTTACTTGTACGGAAGTACATACGAAACCACCGAATGGTCCGAAATGGAACTACTAAAACTTAATATTTGGCAATTCACTTACAGGTGGGTCCCTCGTTTCGCCTTCCCCTCAGCCGTGTTAACAGGGTTTAGTGCCGATTTATGCTCCCGAGATCAATCCCGCTAACGGGTGATTGCTGATAGCACCTGTAGACTAGAACATGGCTGAGAAAAAAGCAAAATGAAGCACCCGCCTGGTGTGGTAGTGAACACATTAGCGCCCGGAAAGGGTAGTAGCGTGCTCGATCCCCACCGCGTACAACCTCGGTCCAGCGTTTTACAAATACCTCAGCATCATTGTGGTTGTATTTCACATAATACCCTGCTGCGAAAAATTGTAGTAGGCAGTAAATAGAAAGTTAGCACAGTCATTGATTAACTACGGAACTAGAACATCTGCTAATTTGTTTGATGCCGTACCTAAGGCACTTACCTAGGCAGCTGAAATTGGAGCCAATATCTTGAACACATTAAGCATTTTAAGCACCATTTTAAAATAACATCTGGAGCACATGTGGGACCCATCGAAATCTAACTTCGTTATCTCGAACTTTGAAAAATATCAGTAGCCCTGATCCGGTAAAATATAAAAGTGGAAAGAAGAACACAAAAATAGAACGACGAGTAGAGCGAAGCGAAGGGTTGACTATATGATATGGACGAGAAGAGCAATTAAATGATCTCGAGAAGGTTGTACTACCTACCTACGAAGTGAGTGGATGAGCTAGTTGATACTATTTCAGGTGTAGGACATGACACAAAGATGTTACGAAATAAAACACCTCCATGAGCGACACTCGAGAGGCAACAAAATGGACGTAAATAATGGCGATGTTGCGTGATTCGTTAATGTTATCCAAGTATCTAATTTAAGGTTATGATTACTATCAAAGGTTACTTATTCTGGGTTACAGCAGAAATACAGTCGGATCGATCATCACGGTTGCATAGATGCATTAAAGGTTCAAAACACGGAATCACCTACCTTGTCTCTGTACGTTCAATGCAGTCACGAACCCTGTCCAGTCGAAATAGCCTATTCAAACGTACCACAGGGAATGGACGAAACGACGAAAACGGCCACGGCCAACCTGCAGGTCATTGTGGTAATGTTGAAAGAATACAGGTGTGATGTTAAGAAGAAACGGCAGCGGTAGTGCATCGTTCCATTGAAGTCAACACCAAGCTGTCCTTCCTCACTACTTTTCAGCCGTGCTGATTAAAGCGGGAGCAGAGCAGTCTTTGTTAGTTTTCCTTTAAAAACGACCGCTGGGATATGGAAGAAAGCACTATCAGTTACTTGGATACTTGAACGATCCGTCCTCATTAGCTATGCTGGGCCTAGCACATTCTCCATTCTTTGGAATCCTGCTGGTCTAGTCACCTTGTTTCCCGGATTCCCGAGGTTACCCTGGCCAAAGTCTGCCTCAGGTCTTCACCACCACAAAGAGCTCCGCCCGCGTGGATCAGAGAGAGATTTGCCACAATGTAACTATGATACTAGGACCGTGGTGGATCCCGCTATTGGTTTACTCTTAGCTGGGCATCCCGATGGAAACGGCGGACTCATCCTCAGCTTTGGAGACTGCCGGGGGGATGGATCTCTCCGCTGTACATCGTAGCTCAACACGCAGGAACACCTCCTAGCCACAATGATGCGGTAAACCGTTGGGAGGGAAAGTACTATTTAAAAAAATGAATACTCACCCAAAATATAATCCACAGGTATGATACTTACTAAGTCGTACTTGAACTGTTTGCTCGCATAGTATTTCTTCTTGATTTTGTCGATATCCCTAACGACGAGACCTTGTTCCAGAAAACCTGGAATTGCTTACTTCAAGAAAACATTGTTATAATATCTCTAACGTAGGTAATCTTCTTTTTAGAACAGAAATCAGAAGACATTTGCCGTCACGTCGGTTTCCTTGTTTTTTTGTTTGAAAAAATTTGGGAATTAGAAAAAAGAAGGTGGAATAGAGAAAAGGAATGAATCATTCCTCAATCGAGAAACCCTACCAGTGCGTGTGCGGAAAAACATGTCTGTGCAGTAAATTAAGTCCATGATTAGATCGAATATCGCCCAGAGTAATCGAATCCACCACCAACGGGACCATCCCATATCGGGGTATTGCTCCTGCACTGGCATCGCCTGAAATTCCCTTCGCTTTTTATCCGTTTTCTGCATTTTTAGGTGCTCGTGTTCTAAGCAATTTCTTGTTTCAGAATTCCAAGAGCTAGACGTAGGTACCACTTAAAAAATACTGAAAGTAAAGGGCTTATGACCGAAGGGATGGTGCTGTCTTTTTGACTCGAATGAGCCCAATCAACTAAGTACGTCCGGAGTGCGAGAGGTACGAATAAAGACTACTGGTCCTCTAGTCAACCGTTGATAATGGGACTACAGAAAACATGATACATAGTGATCCATTGACTCTACTCTTCTTTTCATGATAACTACTAAATTTTAGAGAGGAATTTTAGATTTCAAATGGTTAGTAGCCGTGGGATGTTGCTATTTCTAATCGGTTTCATAGATCCTGTTGTTAGCATAAAAGTAAAAGCTCTGAGGAAGCTTACATGTTTTACCGATAAACGTGGCAAATGTATGCAAAGCAGAGTGAACATGGACTGCTTACGAATTACAATAACTCGAACTTCATTGGTGGGTGCTAAACTTCATTAGGAGCGTGTGGCGCAGTGGTTGGAGGCGTCACTGCGACACACATGTAGAATCGATCTCTGCGCCCATGGCCCACCAAGCATTCCATCCCTCTGGGGTCGGCAAACAGGTACCGGACTTGTCTGGAGGATAGCTGCACTGGCTCGATACATCGGTGAGCCACTGCGAGTCATTGTAAGGACAATGTGTGCATTCAATCACCTTCAACGATACTTAATGAAGTCGAATGCACAGGCATCCCTCAGGGATTGATCAACGCCGAGAGCTTTATCCTTTATCCTTTTAAACCTCGTTATAATTTCATATGTCGATAAATGTCTATTTTTTATTCATTTGTTGTTCAATGCTAAAAATTGGTCCATCATTTAGGAGCTTTCTATCCGTTCTGTTTCATTGCCAGTGCGTTCTTACTGTTGGTCTCTTCAAATTTAGCAGATTTTCGTTCTTAGTCAAGAACTATTATAGCCCGACGAGTGGCCTAGTATGGGCTGATGATTAACACATTTACGACAACTTTTCCTAAAGACGACACAAATTTCTTCGCCACGTACGGTATGGGCTACTTGTGACTAACGTCAATGTTCCATCCGGATTAATCAAAAGTCTTTCTCATTAGTCTTTTACTTTTACTCTGTTGGAACAATAAGCAAAAAGTCGGCAGCGAGACTTGTAAATCCTAGTATAGAAAATAGCTTTTATAGGACAACATCTGGTACGAGATGTGTTGCGGGGTATTTATCGATTTGTATATAAAAATTATGGCAAAAAGGATTTGATGTAAAGGAAAGAACCGTAGAGCCTCAAAAACAAACAGGGTAAGAAAATATGGATATTATGGCATGTTCTACCACCACTATATTGATTATCGGTAGGTAGTAAAAGTGGTGTTGAGTTTTGAAAAAAAAAAAGAGAAATGAATCACACCTGCATGTTCATCAGCTGGTCGTCGGTGCACTCACGGTTGGTGTTCCTGCCGGACGAAGAGTCCACACAGATGGCTACGGCGGTGGGTCCCATCAGATCCACGAACACCTGTCTGGCGATCACGAACAGCAAGTTGTAGACGAATGCAACAGAAACCTGCAACCATCTCTTTTCACTGAGTGCTTATGCCACTGTGGCCGATGAAGGCCTGAGAGTGCACGGAAATTTTTCCATGAGCTTCGTTGCTTTCTTTTCTGAATCACCGAACATTAATGGAGGAATACAAAAAAGGAAAAAAAAATTAAAAGGAGAGAAAGGAAGAGGTTTCACTTTATGATTATCTTAAGTAGTCACAAATTTCCTCAGGATGTTAAACACACTGCAGGAAGACCACCGACTTGATGGTCAGAGTTCTTCACAAAGAGCCTTGAAGAAAGATATGATGCTCGACGAGTCCCCAGAGCGAGCAGAACCCACTGGGCTACTCTTGCACGCGACAGGGAAAAATGGAAGATTTACTGGCGCCTGCTCGAGTCACTCGACGATCAACGGGACTGCAGGTGATGCAGGTGACAGGTCACGAATTTAGAAGGTAAAGACTGAAGTCATATAAGCGTGACACAGATTAATAGCAGAAATAACGTTCAGCTGTGTTATTATCATTGTCATTCATGTTATTATTAATACCGCTTGTATTATGTTAGCCTTTTACTTGCTACCTACTGTAATTTTTCAAGGGAGGCAGGGTGCAATGTAAAATACAATCACGATGATGCTGAAATACTCGCAAAACGCGGACCTGAAGCCGGATCGAACAACGATTACCCTTCCCAAGGGCTCGCGTATTACACACTGCACCACCGAAACCTTTGATCTGCGTTTCTCTCAACCGATTTTCTACGTAACGTTGCCATCAGCAATTACTCGTTAACCACTGTTATTATAGTTTTATAAAAAAGACTTTAGGCGCACTGTCTTCCGTATTCTTTCCTTCAGTAGTATAAACTTTGATTGGAAATTTCTAGAAAGAACGCAGTAGAAGATATAAGAAGCTGTAGTAGATATTTGCAGAAGGATTTACGTCGGTATAGGAAGAAAACATTCCAATCGTCTTAAGAACGATCTAGTGCGAAGAAGTGCTGTCGGAATCTGTTCGACTACAATATTCCGCTATCCACCTTGACGAACGAACATGGCTCTATCACACATCCAACAATGATACGGAAAAGTTCTACGCCAATATAACCCATTTCGCATTCGCCGTCTCAAATCACGAAATACTCGCTAAAGGAAAGTAGCCCAGGAGTCTAACTTCTAAAATTCGAGTTGCGATAGAAAGCATGAGTACAGGTACAGCTGCAGGACCCGATAATTTCACCACAAACTTTCTTCGAGTTCGAGACCACAGATTACACGTACTTTTCGCAACCAATATAACATCATATCCTCAGAAGAAGGCAATCCCAGAGATCATTCCCACCAAATGATGTTTCGTTACAACAATATGTTAGAAGGTCATAAACAGTGAAACCACGTCTGGGGTTCTGAAGGACCTTCACCTGAAGAGAACGGCACGTTGACGACACAGCCACAAAACTCGGTTCCTGTTCTACGTGTGCAAATGTTTAGCATTTTCCTCATACGACCTTAATCATTTTATCTACTGCTATCCACATCAATTCGCACGTGGCCATCCTGAGTCCCGAAGGAGGACCTTATGAAGAAAGAAAAGTACCACTGGAAGCATTGATCAGTAGATTGCTTCTAGAGCACATCTATTCCTCATCAGGCTGACTTATATGGGATTCTCACAGTTTGTGTGACTGTCCTGCAGCTTCAGTATTCCAAAATAAACGCTAGGATTCGTGATAAAAAGGGCTACAAACTCGCTATTTTTGTATCGTAACTTTTATTTACTGCCTATTCTTTTTTAATGGCAGGATATAATGTGAAATACAACCACAAGGATCCTGAGATATGAGCAGAACTTGGAATGCCAAATGAAATGTTCGAAACCGTGATTACGCTTTCCTGGAACTCAAGAGCTACACAATTCACCAAACGAGGGCTTTGTTTTGCTTTCTCTTAGGCGATTTTGTACTCCAGCGATGTTATTAGCAATCACGGTCAATGGGAAATGACCTATGGAGCACAAATTGGCAATGAAGCCAGCTAAGCTCAGGCTGAAGTCAAAATCACAATGTTTGAGTCGCAACCTTTAACTGCTGCCTATTCTTTTCTCATAGTAGGGAAATATTATGTGTAAAACATCCACAAAAATGCTGACATATTAACAAAGCTCGTCACCCTCCGTGAGGTTTGGAACCCAGGATTACCCCTCAAGGAGACCAACCACTGTAATGAAACATTTTCTGAGAGAAAGGCAAAGCAATGGCCTCGGTTGCTGCGGTGGATAGCATGTGTTGCTAATATCTAAGCATCCTTGTGGTTATGGCGTCGCTATTTAAAATTCCTGTAAACAAATTGTACGCATGAATTGAATGAGTCATTGAGGTATATGAGACCGGATAAGGGAAGCTTGTAGGAAAACAGAATCTTAAAAGTAACAATCTTGCTGTGGTTCTGTTCACGTCTTATCCCTTTCACCAAAGCTTAGATTAAGAAAGAGAGTAAATCCTTGATACAAATGGGAATAATCTAATAGAGAGAGTGAACATATAGATCGACCATGTGAAAAACGGATGGGGCTCCCTTAACATCTCTGTAACTTCATCGTTCTACAAACATTTTCTGTCTTTATCCTTAGGATAAAATCTAATTCGGCAATAGTGATAATTAAAAAAACCTCAAATGTAATGTTAGAGGTTCCCTGAAATACAACCTCCAGTGGTCGCTGGTTCGACCACACTTCTCAGACATACCAAGCCTTCCATCCATCTGAGTTCTGAAAATTGGTACCAGACTTGTCTAAGATGGTAGTAGCACTAAGTTGATAGATCCACGGGCAACCACAAGTCATTTAATGGTCCAGATGTGCCTTCTACAAACTGCGATTCTTGATGATGACAAACGCACGGCGCATCCTTCAGGGATTGATCGATGCCAAATGCGTTAGTCCGATTCTTGTCCGGAAAGAAAAATCGCTTTGCCAGAGCCCTTTATGCCCTTTTAAGGAGTGCCGGCTAATCAAAAATTATAGAGATTCTTGCAGGAATATCCAAGATCGACTTTCTATACTCCTCATCCATATAGACTGTGGGGTTGGTCTCCACGTGGAATACTCATGGCAAGTAGCTCTGAAAAAGATGAAATGGCCAGAAACGGCAGATTTTGTTAATAAAGAGTGTAATAACAACATCGCATGTGCTTATCGAAAAAGTAGTGGATTAAAATTCTTTTCTACGATGTTCGATTTGGAAGTAGAACAATAAAGAACAGCGTAGCTGCAACATTAATTCCCTTCAAGTTGGAATACGTGAGCTAAACGCACTTCTTGAAGTCCATCGGGAAAAACGCTTCGAAGCGAAATGTTGTGGTATAGCTAAAAGAAGCCTTGTAAGACTGTCTATTACTTGTCTGACGTCTTAACGTTTATCAAATAGACAAAGTGTTTGACAGAGTCGAAACAGACGCGCTCCTTCTGTGATCGTTGACGGTAAAGCGGGCCCGTTCTAGAAAAGATACTGTAGAAATTGTTATTAACTCCATACTATGAAGATACGGATCATCTATTGCCGTTTACTATCCTCATTAGAGGGGTAGCCCGATATCGTACGCTAATCCTACTCTTCGGAAGAAAGCAGCATCTTGTTGGCACGAAGCATGAAGTCAGTGACGAGAGGAAGAATGCAATGAATGGGAAGAAAGTGAGGCTGATGAGAAAGGTGGTATCGGCGACATTCGGACTTTTCCTTGTATATCAAAACGCAAGTGTCGCCAAAGAAGACCACCGAACAAGTACTTGGACTACGTACGTACTTGGACTCAAAGTAACCAGTGACACTCTCGGTTTGACAGCGTTTCAGAGTCAGGACGTAACACTTGAAAATGTAACTATTACTGAATGCGTCGTTTTCTTGTCCAACAATCCCGAGGTTGTTATACAGCGTACATTCACTTCCAGGGAAAAACACAATACAATGCAGCACTAGCTGACGTTTCGGTTTTTTATCGCCTTCTTCAGAGCCTGGAAGGGTATACTGATATGCAATCTACTAGGCCAAACGCTTCAATAGTACTTACAAGAAGACGAAAAACTCTGTGGTAATTGCATGATCAACAGCTTCTCGAAAAACTCACCGCTTTTTACGTGACTTCCAATGAGGAAGCTTAGAACAGCTGATTATAGTCGCATGTGGTTGACGACTGCACCATCCCACATCAGAAATCGATGCGAACATATGGGGCCAGGTCGCGTATGACCACCGGGCATTCACCCCTGCTATTCGTTGTAAGGTTTTTGGCATTTATCCAAAAAGCCTCAAGAATTTTCGCGCTGGTGTTTTAGACTCCTGTGCAAGGATATTGACTTCTACTTCAAAATCATCGCTATGCTTTCGTATCCTATGCGTGCCTAGTGGGGTGCTTCGTCTTAGTTTTCGTTTGCCATCTAGATGTTCTTTTACACTGATACATAAAAGTGTGCCCGTTTCGCCAATGTATTCATCTCTGCAATCATTACAAAAAATCAGGTATATCGTACCTGAACTCATGCAATCACCGTCTCTGCCGTAAGGGCAAATTACGCAATTTGTTGTTTCACACAGACGGTCATACAGGCGGTTACGAACTAAATGACGACGTAGAGTAGCCGGTGGTATTTCAACTATCGCTACCGATTCCTCTAGACCTGCCCTTCTTAAGCATCGTTTTATAGCTACGCTTACTTCATCGCTTATAAAAGGCAACATAAACGGGACTTTCTTTTGGCCAAGTGTTTCGCGTGGACGCGTTGCTTTCCTGCTAAACATATCTCGTGGGGTTTTGTAGCCATTGGAGGTGGCTATTTGCCGAGCCAAGTCGCGCGATTCTACCTTTAGTTCCCTGGTAGTGCATACAGAGGTGGCTGTTCGAAACATGTTTCTCACAATCGCCCTCTTTGTGTGTGAAGGGTGGGAAGAAAGGAAATGGACAAGGATGTTCTTGTTACTTGGCTTTCGATACCACTTTGTCAGGTAACCGCTACTTGATAGGTT